GAGGAACGATCTGGAGTATGAGTAATATCTTCATTCTTTGCAGTTTGTCACAGATTAAATGATAAAGTTTGCATGATTTTGAAAAAAGAATGATTATTAGCAAATTATTGGGGGGGGGCTGCAGCCCCCCAGCCCCCCCCGGTTGCTACGGCCCTGAACCAACTGAGCTACAGAAGCTAGTTGTCGAGCTCTAGTAGCGCGAATTCATGTATAGGTACTGAGATGCCACAATGTAAGGTGTACAATGTACGGTGTGCAGATTTTGAACATCTATACTTGATATAATGACAAACGAAATTTCCATCTCCGAGTAAAATCCTGATATCTAAAAGATCCTGATATCTGAGATCCTAATAGCTGGGTTTGAGTCACGTGATACGTTTAGCGCTTGGTCGTCAGCTCCAAATGGAAACCCATTTATCGGATCGAGTTAAATATTCGTTATAAGTATTGATCTTGTGTTTGGTATCAAATATATGCAATTTAACCAAATTTACTTGCTTCCACAAGGCATATAGAGCGGCATATAGAACCGTTTCCCTATTGTGCAAGTCTTGAGTGAAACCCACCTATACCGCAAAAAAGTTTATATAATAACTACAGTGAAACAAGCAATTTGACTGGTCAATAGCCGAGCAGGATCAGGCTATCCTGCAACGAAGAATTAAAATGCCTTCGTGGGATTCAGCATTCTCAAAATGTCATTGTTTCACTGTAGTTATTTTATAAAACAACTACCAAATGGTTTTCCAAGCAGGATAGCGTAATCCATGCACTTGGGATGTTGCTCGACTTTCGGAAAGCGTAAAAATACACTCGCCTGCGGCTCGAGTATTTTTACGCTTTCCGAAAGTCTCGCGACATCCCTCGTGCAATCCTGCACGGAAAACCATTCGATACCCCTTTATTCTTCATTGTTGCCTACGCGCTGGAACTCCACACTCAAGATCGATATTATCTGTAGTCATTGCGAACTCAATTTAAAACTATTCAAACGGCTCAAAAACGTAAATATAAACACAGGTTATTGCGAGTTCATCTTCACTGACCTGACATTGTCGCTCTGTGGCAAGTGCATCATAAATAGATTGGCGATCACAGGGGTATGTCTCTGCTGCTACAAATTTATACTGTGGAAAAAAAAACAACGAAATGTGTTGGAAGCTAACTAGGTTGCCAAATCAACTATATATTTAATATGAGAAAAATATACTGAATTCTAATTCAGTCGAGAGGAATACAATTAACGCCATTTTTGGGGCACCTTCTTCTCACGTCAGACAATCTAGACAATGTGAAAAGCGATTTTTCAAAGTTGAAACTGTAAATTTGTCATGCACACAAACTACAGTGACAAAAAGTCACATTTCGCGGTGCGTGCACTCTTATAAGCCCGTTTATCTTCTTTTGATGGATGTGAACGAGTGGAGGAGTTATATACTAAAACTGTCTGTACCAGTGTGGGTAGTACCAATGTGAAAATGCTGTGCTGAGTGGTTATATTACTACCTTAAAAAACAAGAGTTAGTAGAGCGAAGGCCCTTCTTCAAGAGTTATGTTCAGATGAGGGTGTACATACTTGGAACATTCATTACTCATCTAGTCGTTCACATGCATCAGAAGAAATTCGCAGCAAAAATTGCAAGTCTAAACCGGCCTCTAGACTTGGGAGACGCAGTACCCCCAAAATAAGCTTAGCGTGAGAAAGGCTATCAAACTTTCGTTTATAAACCACCTGAAGTCAAAACAAATTTTCAGATCAAGGAGTAAGTATGCAATCATGGGAATTTGGAATGGAAAAGCCATGTCGAATTGTCAATTGTGATAAAATTTTAACGTCGAATTATTACCATGCCAATGATGTCATCGTATTTACATATGAAAGTATCAAACAAACTGTAATATCTCAAAAACATAGTAACAGTGTTTTTATTTTTTATTATCATTATCATTAAAAGTACAATTAACTTAGTAAAAAAGTCTACATAGCTATTAACTATAAATGTTTTAGTATTAAATACATCAATCATTCAGTGTTAAAAGTCCCATCCTAGTGACATATTTTGAAGAAAAGCAATGTAAAAACTATACTGTATATTCGACTATTGACTATATAGGCACGTTAACACAGGGCTCTCAACTAAATATGATAATCCCTTGGCAAGAGCTATGAAATTCTTTGGTTTTCAATGAAATTATTTAATCTACTTCATCCACTCAGCTTTCTGTGTATAAACTAACTTGGCAACAGCTTGGAAAATTATGTGAAATTCGCAAAGGGAAAATCTTTAAAATAAGAGCCCTGACCATAGAGCACCCTGTGGTGATGTTACCTTTAAAAATATCAAATGTGCACAAATTTGTTTTGTTAAGGTTATAATGAATCTGACTAGTACCCAGTCCCTAAAATAAGGGTTGAAAAAATGGTGGTGCATGATGGGAACGATCAAAGCTCCTCAGTCCACTGATCTATATATGTACTTATTGACGAAAGAGTACGACCCAGATATTGAATAGCTTAATTAAACTGTTAGAGCTTAAACCGTTTAATGCTAGTCACTATCACTGAAGGTAAAGTGCGTATTCACTAGAGACTAAGACCATGGGTCCACTACAATGCGCTGTCAGATGAAGAATCTGCAACTCCTTACCAAACAGCGTCAATCTTACATTGTGACGACGTTTGCCTGTCTCTGGTTCATATGTTGACAAGAAGTACCAATTTCCAACACGCGAAACAAAAACTAACTCTTCGGTGAGATAATTGAACGCGATGCTGACACAACACTCGCGCTCCCCTTCATACAATTCAAATTCGCGTATTAACT